TGCAAGGAGTTCACAAAGCTTTCTTTTATGTTGCGGCTTCTTCATATCCAAACACTCAGTGGGATCGCTGTTACACATTTTGAGATGTTATTAGATTTGCTCAGGAAAGTCATTCTAGGCGATGAGAAGAGCATCCCCGCAACCTCTTACGAAGCTCACAAAATTGTTGATACGCTAGGGCTTGATTACAAGAAGATAAACGCATGTCCTAATGACTGCATCTTTTACAATAAGGGTAATGAAGCTCTGGAGGAATGTCCGACGTGTTGTGTATCACGCTGGAAAGAACATACGGGCACATCCGAAGGCGGTTCATCTAATAAGTAGAGCAGAATCCCTATGAAGGTTTTTTTGACATTTTCCAATTATTCCTAGGCTGCAAGGTTTTTTATGTCTGTCGAGCTGGCTGGGAATATGTGATGGCATTCGACCAACCGCAAAGAGGACGGGAAACTGAGACATCCTGCTGATGGTGAAGCATGAAAGCACATCAATCGTATATACCCCGACTTTGGTAAGGAGTCTCAGAATATTAGGTTGGGGCTTGCTAGTGACGGATTTAATCTGTTTGGATTAATGAGCTCCGCTTGGTCTACCTGGCTAGTGTTGCTGACACTGTACAACCTATCGCCGTCGATGTGCATGAAGCAACCGTACATGATACCGTCACTCTTGATCCCTGGAAGATATTCTCCTGGAAATGACATTGGTGTTTTCCTCCAACCATTAATTGACGACCTGAAGCTTCTTTGGGAAGAAGGTGTCAGCACTTATGATGCTTATGGTAAGGAGTCTTTCTGTATGCGGGCAATGGTCATGTGGACAATTAATGACTTCCCGGCATATGCTAACCTATCTGGATGGTCGACGAATGGTCAGATTGCTTGTCCAGTTTACATGTCAAACTATGAGGAAAAGTTTCTAAAATATAGCTGTAAGTTCTGTTATTGGCAACACATAAGATGGTTGCCTACGGGGCACAAGTTCAGAAAGTTAATAGGAAAGTTCGACGGCAATCCAGAAAATAGACCGGCACCACCAAGGCTGACCGGGGAAGAAATATTTGAGCTTCTACATCCACTACCTAGAAAAATATTTGGAAAGAAAAGATTCAACAAAGAAAATCCATTTGGGGTTAGGAGAAAAATATTAAAGCAAAATTGGAAGGGAAAGGGAAAGGGTAAGCTATTTCTCAAAGGCAATTCGAAAGGAAATAAGCCTCGTAGAGCCAAGTCACATGGGCGTGTCTCTAAGGGCACTGAACTTCCACATGGATGGTCAAAATTCAGCATATTTTATCAGTTGCCATATTGGAGAAGTTTAAAAATACGTCACAACTTGGATGTCATGCACATCGAGAAGAACATATGCGAGAATCTCTTGAACGTTTTGTTGCAGGATGGGAAAAAAATCGAAAGATGACTTAAGGGCACGTTGAGACCGAGCAGAATTGAACATCTGTCCTGAACTACAAGCTATAGATAAGGGTGACGGAAAGTTTGAACTCCCAGCCTCCCGTGTCACACTGTCGAAGGATGAGGTCCACAATATGTGTTTATTTCTAAAGTCCGTGAAGACACCAGATGGTTATGCTTCAAACATTTCAACAAATGTGCATATTAAGGACAAAAAAATTTTGGGACTCAATACACATGACCATCATATTCTATTACATCAATTTCTCCCGGTTGCGTTGCGACATGCTGAGAATGAACTCACGATGGTGGTAATAGAATGTTGCGGTTTCTTCAAGCAGTTGTGCTCCAAGGTGATTGATGTCAGGGAATTTGAAGAATTAGAGGGACGTGTAGCTAATACACTGTGTAAAATGAAAATTCTATTTCCACCCTCGTTCTTTATGGTCATGGTGCATCTCACAATATATTTAGCATATGAAGCCCGCATCGCAGGACCGGTTCAATATCGCTGGATGTACCCTGTGGAGAGATATTTATTATTATAATGTTCAATAATATTTGTCAAATTTCGTTACTCAGTTTTATTTTATCATAAATCATAAACTATATGCTTGTAGGTATTTGGGTTTCATGAAACAACTGATGCATAACCGTGCACGTCCAGAAGGGTCGATCGCAGAGAACTACATAAGTAATGAGGGTTTGAATTTCATCTCTCGTTACTTGCGGGGTGTGGAGACAAGGCTTAACCGTCCCCAACAAATAATTGACAGAACATTCTATAATGATCGTGGGGAGGACACTAGATTCCCCAGAATGAAGCTAGATCAAGCCCACACATATATCCTGAGCAATGATACTACATTTAACATATACGTGGCGTAAGTATTTAGCCGTTTGAATTAGGTCATATTACATCACAATAATTATCTCTATTTAACTGTTATAAATGATTCTATTCTAGGCTTCACATCCGATATGTCCAATAATTATCTCTATTTAACTGTTATAAATGATTCTATTCTAGGCTTCACATCCGATATGTCCAGACTACTCTTAAATGCAGAACAAAAAATTATAAATGATTCTATTCTAGGCTTCACATCCGATATGTCCAGACTACTCTTAAATGCAGAACAAAAAAATAAAAGAGTTATGGACACACACTCTCGACAATTCCATGCATGGATGAAGGGTGAAGTAAGATCTTTTTTACATATCTGATTAGTATATCAAATATACGTGCCTAACACCAGATATTTAAACTATTTGTTTTATTTCTTAAAGGTTGACCAACGGATTACGAATGGGGTTAACCTATCTGAGAAAGTATGTTTATATGCCAGAGGTCCTTCTAAAGTGGTTAAGCATTATGGAGGCTACTGCGTCAACGGTTTTAGGTTTAACACCATCGGTTTCGAAGAGAGACGACAAACGCAAAACAGTGGTGTGTTCTGCTCATTTTCGCAACTGTCATACACTAGTCCAAAAGATCAAAATCCAATACAAGATGAATTCTATTGCTACGGTCAGGTAGAAGACATCATGGATATTTTCTATAGGATTAATAAGGAAGTCAGACATGTGATGTTTAAGGTTCGTTGGTGTGAGCTGAAAAATACGAAGGATGACTACGGTTACACACTTGTTAATCTTAACAAGGAAATTTATTAGAATGAAAAGTACATGTTAGCTGCTCACGCCAAATAGTGCTTTTATGTTAAAGATATAATGAAAAATGACAAATGGGTTGTCCTTAAGAATCCGCCTAGAGCCTACATTCATGAAGTTGTGTCTGATGAAGATCACGATGAGGAGGTTATCTTGGCCGACAAAACAGTTGCTGAGTTTTCCTTGACACAAAATAATAATCTGATGGATGAAATTGCACTAGCACACCCTGATATACCTTCGATTATATGTGAGCCAAGGCATAAAGGTAAAAAACCAGTCCGCAGCATCGATAAAACTATAAGAACAGTCCTTTTGTCGGCACGCACACGGTCTCAGGCTAACCGCACACGGTCGCAGAGTAGAGCCTCAACATCGTCATAATAATGTATCAGTTTGTGTCATGTATTATAGTATTGCTTTTATATTATCTGTTTGACTGGTTATCATGTATCAGTTTGTGTCATGTATTATAGTATTGCCTTTATATTATCTGTTTGACTGGTTATCATGTGCCAGTTTGTGTCATGTATTATAGTATTACCTTTACATTATCCGTTTGACTGGTTACCATGTGTTATTTATTAATTATTTACATTATATGCTTTTGTTGGATGCTCGTTATATTTTCAAAGTATAGATGACAAAAGGACTACATAAGAAAGCGCTTGAGAGACTTTTTGATAGACATTCTAGAGGCGACGCACATGCCTCTACGTCAGGTATTTTTATTTATTTGTTATATCTGTACATTTCTATAAACTATTAATGTGAGCCTAACATTATTTTTTAACATTTCCTACACAAAATGTAAAGATGCTACACATGACTCGCCGCCACAGGACACAGGCAGCGGAGATGCTTCACATGATGCAGAGGCACAGGCTGATCCTACACAGCATGTTGAGATACCGTCGCCGCCGCCGCTGCGTGTAGATGTATTGGAGGAGCGGAGATATGAGCCGTATAGTGTAGCTGTAGAAGCTGTGCCACTACCACCAGATTCTATTCCAGATCAACGAGTCCACGACCCGGCCAAGGTGAATTGAAGGGGGATTAGTAATCTTATCATGCTTTGCGACCTATCGCGCAGCGTAGGTACGAACAAGCAAGGCGTAGATGCATCGAACTGAAAGGTGTGAATAGATTTTTATAGTTTATCGGTTATTATTTTACTTTTTATTATCGATATGGATTGATTTATATGCCACCCAATTTTCATTGTTTCGTAGGTACCGGGCGACCTCCTAGGCACGGCCGCAGTGCTACCAGGCCACAGAACCTCATCCCTAATATTCATCGGAGGGCTGTGATCCGATGGGAGCACGGAGTGCCTGTCGGGGCATTTGCCAATGCTTTCAATAATTTTCTCGCTGCTTTAGCCAGGAGACATGATTTCTTTAATATTTTTTGATGTGAAAATCATAACGAATTGATGCGTTGGTGGCTTGTTGGAGATATATATGTGTGAGTCATTTATTTGGATTTTCATCATTTGGAGTTATTAGTTTATTATTATGTTTAATACACTGATTTGTATCTCTTTTTTTTATATGCTGAAGCGATTTTTCTTCCTTGACGATAACATCTGTGCCTGGACTTACTGCTTCAAGCAAATCAATCTATCGTTCAAGAGGTGGCGAGCTGAGGTGAAGAAAAAGTATTTCGTTCGAATAACAAACGATTGGGAGCGCTTCTGGCATCTTGACGAGCGCGTAGATGGAGTAGAATTTTTTGCACTTTGTGATTACAGGGACACGGCTGAAATCCAGGTATTATTGCCGTACATTTTTTCATTTTATATGCTGAATTTCTATATTTTCCTGATTTGACATTGTTTTCTAGGCTCAAGCTGAAATAGCAAGGAGGAACCGTAACGCTCCCCGCAGTTACGAGCATCACGGGGGCTCCATATCCTTTAGCTAGCATTATCATCAATTGGAGCTTGAGGTATATAATATATTAGCTTATAAATTGTAAATTTGAGTATACTTTACGTGTTATGGGTTAATAATATATTTGAATAAAATAGGGAAGGGGAGATCTCAGACATTTTGCAAATCGTATTCTGACTTCTTGGAGCCCGAATTACACTGATGAAGAGAAGAAGGTGAAGAACCAGGATCTGGCTGTAAGTAGCAGTTCATTTGTATATTCAATTTCATAACAATGCATCATTAAAAAGTTGACTTGCCCGGGTTGTTTTGATATATCCCAGGAGAAATTACATGCCAAGGTACAGGAGCAAATATCTCAGTCTCAGGTCGGTTCTAGCACTCTGGTCCGGCTAAGTAGAGAGGAGGACACCATCATTGAGACGATCATTAGACCGAGTAGGAAGAATAGATACTAGTGGAGAGGATCCGAGCAGAGGCCGCACGAGTCTAGTAGCACCTACGAGTCTGCAGCACCACCAGGAACACCAGGAAGCAGTTCATATCAAGACTCGATGGAGCAGCGGATGAAAGCGATTGAAGATTGACAGTCGTAGCAAACAACATATCAGCGGATTGCTGAGGAAGAACGGAGGCGTCGGGAGTAGCAAGAATTAGAGTTCACACAGTTCATGTCGACTCAGTCTCAGAAGGCTCAGGAGGCATATAGGAGACGATTTATGGCAGATCGGGTAATATATATACTTTACTTTTTTTAATTAAATGAATTAATTATATTTAATTCTTACTTAGTTATAAATATGCCATGTGACTAAATGATATCATACACATCGATACACACTTTTACATACAAACCCTAACTCTAACCCTAACACAAAGCCCAAAATATATACATATAATATTTTTATGTGATGGTGGTGTTGATGGTGCGTGCGTGCATAGTGATGGTAGTATTGGTTGGTGAATTGGTTAGTTGGTTGTGGTTGTGTTGTTGTGGTGTGTGTGTGCGTATGGTTAGTTATGTGATCTCTTGGTGGGTGGTTTGGTCATGGTGGGGGAGGGGAAGGAGCGGGGATCTGGTGGTGGTGGTGATGTAGGGGGAGGGTATGCGTGCATGCGTATGGTTGGTTACGTGTACGCACGCGTGCATGCGTGCACGCGTGTATGCGTGCACGCGTGTATGCGTGCATGCGTGTATGCGTGTGTGCATGCGTGCACGCGTGTACGTGTGCGTGCGTGCGTGCATATACGCGTATGTGCATGTACGCGTATGAGCATGTACGCGTACATGCACGTATGGTGAGAAAACTATGCGTGTACGCGTATTGTGCGTGTACGCGTATGTGCATGTACGCGTATTGGGCTAAGACCTCTCACTATCTTGCTATTAGATAGGAGTAGCTTTCCTTGCGGGGTTAGGGTGTGCATGCGTTGTTGTAAAAATTGTGCGTACGTGCGTATAATACATAAGAATATGCCATGATACTCTCTCTTATTGCTATACTTGAATGTCATGCCATATTGTTAACGTTTGATTTATATTTACAGGCCGGTACTTCTAGACAAGGTGGAGCTGATGATGAGGATGATGATGATCAGGAGGACTGATTTGTTTTTTTACCTTTGAAAACAATGAATGAGTGTGTTGTATAAACAATATTTATCATGGTGTGTATTGTATAAACAACGTTTATTATGTTGGGATATTTTAATTAAATTATATGTGTTATATATGCGTGAGAATGAATATTATATTGCTGATTGAACATGGTTTTAAATTTATTATATTATTGTACAGGTATTTTCAATTTTCAAATTATTTTTTAAAAAATATTGGAAATATTTAGCAACGGATTGGCCGTCGCTAAATACACTTTTAGCGACGGAAAACAGATACGGGGGATAAACACTATTAATAAAGTATAGCACCTTATGGTAAAATATAGCACTTTATGGTGTTAGTATAGCACCTTATTGATAAAGTATAGAACTTTACGGATTCTAAAAATTCTGTAACATAGTGGGATAAACCAAATCAGATTTTTTCGGAGCAATGCAAACACTTGATGACGTGTAAGATATGTTGTTTGATCAATTATTCATCTCGACGAGAGGTCGTCGCTCAATTTTCTAGCTTTAGGAAAAGTATAGCTCTTTATAGAAATGTATAGCACATTATTGATAAAATATAGCACCTTATGACAAAGTATATCACTTTATTAGAATAGTATAACACCTTATTGATAAAGTATAGCACTTTATGGTTTCTGAAAATTTCGCAACGTAGTGGGATAAACCAAATAATTTTTTTTCGAAGCAATGCAAACACTTGATGACGTGTAAGATGTGTTGTTTGATCAATTATTCACCTCGACGAGAGGTCGTCGCTCAATTTTCCAGCTTTAGGAAAAGTATAACTCTTTATAGAAATTTATAACATTTTATTGATAAAGTATAGCACCTTATGTCAAAGTATAGCATTTTATGGCGTTAGTATAGCACCTTATTGATAAAGTATAGCACTTTATAGTTTCTGGAAATTCTGCAACGTAGTGGGATAAACCAAATCAGTTTTTTCGGAGCAATGCAAACACTTGATGACATGTACTTTCATACAGTGTTCATATATAATCGAGGGTATTATTTATCATTTTTGAACATGAGAAGTTGCCTTGTTTATCGGGTATTAAATTGCAGTATTTATGATTTCATTTACACATGTAAGATGACTTTTTTGATACAAGTTTAGAGCTGTACAGCGAGGCATGTACAAGAGTAGAATATGTATACCTTTACTATTAGTATTCCATGGTTCATATACACAATCCTCGTGTTGGACTATAATCCATTAAAGTTCTCATGTTGGACTATAATCCATTAAAGTCCTCGTGTTGGACTATAATCCATTAAAGTCCTCGTGTTGGACAATAATCCATTACAGTCTTATGTTGGATAATTACTAAACCTTGAGTATGTTGCTTAACCGAGTTTGGAACACGACATATTATATGAGGCTGGGACATGATAGCTACCTAGGCTGGACATGACACTTAGTGTAGCTTTGACATGTTTAAATTGTATCGGTAGAGATGAGTTTGTATTCTTTTCTTTATTGTTCCTTAGGTTAAACCTCGGGTTTAGTATTTAGGGATTTACAATTTGAGATACACGGTATATACATGAGGGTTTCCTTGTTTAGATTATTTCGCTCGACGTACCTATGCTCGTGTTATAATTTTCTAAGTACTAAAACCTACTATTGTTAGTATAAATGATTCTATATTTTTATGTATTAACTGTATTTTCATATACAATGAGCCCTATCTCTTGGGGTTGGTTGTGATGTTGCTCGCTAGCGCTTTGACGCTCGTTGTCCCTCCCCCTTTTAGGTAACGAGCCCGGAGCCCGGAGAGTCGCAGGTTGAGGGCGATTTTTTTTTAGCGCCCGTTTATCCTCTTATTAGATGTATTTCATTTTGTACTCCACTTGAGACATTTTTAGACTTGAGAGATTTATATTCTAGAGTTGTAAAGGTTGTGTGCCTTATTTCATGTATCATATGTTTTGTATTTTGAGACATGTTGAGATCTCCAGACTGTTATTATTCATTTCATACATTGACTATGTATTCCAGCTGATTTGATTAATGAGATGTATTAATCCGAGATCTATCATTTCATTATGTACTTGTTGTAAAATCTTTTACTTGCTTTGTACCTACACCTGTTGTTGATTCCACTAGAGAGGTAGTAATTGTGATGGTAAAACATGTTATTGCACGGTGTGGTGTATGGCAGGTTTGACATTCCTGGTTTCATCTCGGACTGCAGCCTTGTGTGAACCCAGGGGCGTCACAGTTGGTATCAAAGCTCTAGTTCCAGTATCCTTAGGATCATCCTGTGTCGAGTCGTGGAGCTAGGTTAGAGTTTCTTAGGATTCAGGTATAGAGTCCGCTAAGGATTTCCTAGTATGAGTGAGGACGGTATATACGTATATCTCAAAACTTTGAGAAATTTTTTTTATTATGAAAACTATTTTTGTTTAAAGTATATGTGTGAATACTATATGGTGTGAAAATCGTATTGTGATACATTATGTATGTATATATGTCTACTTTGACTCATGAACTTTTATTTTCTTATGATCAGAGAGAAATGGCAGGACGTGGCAGACCCCGTACTCGCAGAGCCGCTCAGGCAGAGCCCCAGCAGGCTCCACCTAGCCACAGCAGGCTCCACCGAGCAGGAGCAGGCACCACCTGACCGCAGCAGGCTCCCCAGTACCTCATTGAATCTCATGGCTCCTATCGTAGCTAGGATGGCAGCGCATGAGGAGCTTGTGGCCCGAGTCATATCGCCGCCAACCGAACAGCACTACCACCTTCAGTAGTTCCACCACAGGGAATACCAGCCGTCCCAATCAGAGAGAGAGACCCAGAGGTAGCACCTACAGCTATTCCACCGGCGGTACCGGATAGAGCCATGGAGCAGGAGGCTTGGCTCTGCTTGGTAGAGAGGTACCAGAAGATGAGAGCACCGGAGTTCCAGGGCTCTTCAGACCCACTTGTAGCCCACAAGTGGAAGGAGGATGTGAGTAATGTCCTAGACATATGTAGGCTGTCTAAAAATCACTACAGATAGTTTATCCCCATCAGACACCAATGATGGAAGTTACAACCTGACGACTTCCAGAAGGCTATAATTTGAAGATTTTCACGTAGAATGTTACAATCTGACGACCTTTACAACAACTAATGAAAGCTCTAATTCAACAGCCTTCACAATCAACATCGGGAGTTACAATCTGATGACTCTCATATTTTCAAGGAGCCAAGACGAAGGTTACAAGGTGACGATCTTTGCAACGCTCTAGCGAAAGAGACTACAAATTGACGGTCACTTCATATTAAAACACAGATATCTCTCAAACCGTAAGGAATTTGGCAAAACTGACGGAGCAAACCAAACCCAATGGGTTTGGTTTGGTCGGCTCCGTCTCGTCGAGATAGCCGATTTTCATATATAATTTGTCCAATTCCGACTTACTGTTTGAAAGTTATGACATGTTCTTCGCAGCAAGTTATGTTCTGAAGTCCGTCTGCAAGGCTGGACTTCGTCTGAACATTGGACTTAGCCTGAAGCTCACCGAGCCCGCCTGAGACTCACCTCTGCATCCAAGATTCGAAACGCAAAGGTCATGCCCGCGTTCTAAACTCAAAACGCAGAGGTCGTGACCGCATTTGAGATTCAAAACGCAGAGGTCGTGGCTGCGTTCCAAACTCGAAACGCAGAGGTCGTGGCTGCGTTCCAAACTCAAAACGCAGAGGTCGTAGCTGCGTTCCAAACTCGAAACGCAGAGGCCGTGGCTACGTTCCAGAGTCAAAACACAGAGTTCGTGGACTTAAAGCGCAGAGTCCATGCGGAACCCAACTCTGCGTCTCAGGTCCAAAACGCAGAGTTTATCTCTGTGTTCTAACTCTGCGTCTCAGGTCTAAAGCGCAGAGTTCATCTCTGTGTTCCAACTCTGCGTCTCAGGTCTAAAACGCAGAGTTCATCTCTGTGTCCTAACTCTGCGTTTCAGAGTTACAACGCATCGCGGCCTATGCGTTCAGCCACCCAACATAGGCCTAACTCTGCGTTTTTATTCTAAAACGCAGAGTTCGGGCCCAGAACGCCATTTTCGGCGTTTGACTCGTTCAAACACGAACCGAACAGTTCCAAGAACCGTTTTCCCCCCATGATTTGAGGGATTTCCGCCCCACTTAGGAGCAGATTAAGGGGGTAGTTACCACCCTTAATCCCCTATAAATACCAGAAACTCAATTGAGTTAAAGGATCGGCTTTTTGCATCAAAAACAGATCGCAAAAGGAGAGATCAGCAACCTCTTGAGCAGATCATCTTCGGATCTTGGGGATTTCTCGGATCTGGAGATCAGAAAAGGGGGGTCTTCGTTCAATCTCTGGAGCATTCCTTAGAGCTTTCATCCCTGGCTTATTAACCGATTTTCGGTTCAAATCAACTCTGTTACAGAGTTTACACTCGTTCTGAGTTTCTAAACTCGATCTGAGTTATCAACTCGTCCAGAGTTTCAAACTTGCTTTGCAAGTCCTCCACAACGTCAAATCGTGAGGAGAAGACCACGTTCCAGTGAATCAAGACGTTCGGATCGTCAACGGAGAGCAAACTCGACGCGAGCACTCGAGGGAGGCACTCCATCGCCACCGTGAAGAACCCAGTTTTAAACAAAGGGGAGAGTCAAATTCATTCTCCTCTCTTTTGTAATCGGAATCCAAATTGTACTTGATTTTGAGAGAATACAAGTCAATTTTTCTTTCATTGTCTTTTTACATCAAATTTTCCACAAACAACATACTCAATGTAGACTCAGTTCAGAAGCAAAGTCTGGCATCATATAGTCTGAAGGGGGATATCGGGAGATGGTACCGATTCCAGTTTCCATTAGAGCAGCGGATGATCCTCACTTGGGAGGATTTTGTTTACTTCTTTGATGCACAGTATGTTTCTTCTGCAGCACGGACTGGAAAGGAATTTGAGTTGTCCCATTTGACTCAGGGGGACATGTCAGTTGCAGAGTTTGAGAGCAAGTTCATGGAGTTGCTACATTTCACAGGGATGTGGCAGACAGGAGAGCGTCAGGCTCAGATGTTCCTAGCAGGGCTTCACCCTAATCTTCGCCGATACCTCGTCTCGAGGAGGTTCTATTCAGTCTGGG